TCCGTGCATGGTAATGTGCACTATACTTCTGTAGAGGTGATTGCACATTCTTTCCATTCCTTAAAGTATGAAAACACAGCTATATCGTACTTTATTTCTATTTATAAATTTGTTGCAAAAATTTTCTTCAATGGTCATTGAAGGACATGAAAAGAATAGATGAGAAATGATTTAATGAAATACTGAAGATAGGCCTGACTACAAGAGCTATCTTTGCATTTAACTTTGATTTTTCATGTCCTTGAGATGACATCAAGATTTCCTCTAAATTGTGGTGAGGGCCCAAAATTCTGCATCCATCACATATTCAAACTGTCACTCCCTAGATTTTCAATCTCATGTTTGATCACTGGCTTTAAAGTCTGAAAAATCAAAGCATATGTTTATCAAAATCTCTGCCTATTTTAACTGGATAAGCTAAAGAAGAGGCAGAATCTTTTTGCAATGTGCTGATTCAGTCATCTAGAAGTAGTGCCACTCATAAGCCACACATATGATTAAGAGCTGGGGATCCTTACTTAGTTACTTACTTAGTCACTTACTTACTTACTTACGTACTTACTTACTTTATTTATTTATTTATTTATTTATTTATTTATTTATTTATGGAACTGGGGATTGAACTCAGGCCCTTGCGCTTCCCAGGGAAGCACTTATTCTACTAAGCCATCTCCCCGGCCCGTAGGATCCTTGCTTTATGCAACTTCTCTTTCAGTGGAAAAAAAAACTAAATCAAGAGAAGGGCAAATAAATGAAATAATTATAGATTATGAAAAAATATAATGATAGAAAAAATAGCATATATATAAAGAGAGAGAGAAGATAGAGTTAGAAAAGAAGAGGATTTCCATACTAAGAAAGCAATATATGCAAATATTCTTAAGTGGATTATGATTGTGAGTGTTGATGATGATGTATTATTTTTTTTATTTATCAGTAATCTGGCACTAAGTACCGTAGCTTAATGAAAATGATGCATTTCTAAATGCATCATCTCCAATGAAAGCATCAAAAATATTTGCATGATTTGAAAAAGGAAAAGAAAAAACTAAAACAAAACCCTGCTTATACATATTCAAACACAGTAACAGGAAGGATTTGAAACTCTTGGCTCATTTGAGCCTTTGACAGTGACTGACCAGCATTCTGTACTGGATTCCTCCTTGCTGCAAATACGCAGTCAATCCACATTTAGACATAAAGCAAGCATTAAGCTTTTATTCCCTCTTGCAGTTATGTTCTTTCTCTCTTACTCAAATGTCAACCCCATGCTGTTACTTAGAAGTGTAACATAAGAAGTTGTTTCTGAATTGAGTTCACAGTGTGAACTACAGTTGAATATAAATGCCATCTACAGAAAAATTGATTACAGGGAAACCATTAGAGCTATGGAGGGCTACTTTAATGTTGCTCTGTCATTTGATTAATAGAAAATTATTTAGTGTTTGGAAATTGCCTAGAAAGATTTTTTAAAAAGTAAAAATTGTTTGCTTGTTGAGTTTACCATTGAAAAACTTAGTACAATCCTCATAACATGTGTTTCTTATTATTCATATGACAGTTTTGATTTTTATCATACTAGAATTTTTTTTTCTTTTTTCAGAACCAGGGATTGAACTTAGACACTTGCACTTGCCAGGGAAGTGCTTATTCTACTGAGCCATCTCCCTGGCCCCTGTACTTGAAATTTTAATTTTGCTATAGACATTTTCAATCTACTTTAATAAGCCACATCAAACCAGACCTGCTAACAATAGTCACTCTAAAAGCCTAAATAATTTGTACATTTTCATTTGTTTTGTTTTGGTGCTAGATATATGACACTGCCAATGTAGAGACACTCGCAGAGAATGACAAGTGGTTATAGACCATAGGAACCTTCCAGCTCATTAGATAAGACTTCCACATTTTATCTCTTTTTTTTTAGACAAAGCACATAAACTTTGCAAGTAAAAGCCACATTATTAAATATAATCTTAAATACTGTAATTATTATTTTTAGGAAATGAATCATTTGCTAACATTGAAATTATATTATTAGTGACAAACACTTTCAACACAATTCAAAAATTGTCTGCCATACTACTACAGTGGAGAACTGATCTTAGAACAGAGAATTAACATTCATGGAGCTTGTGAACATGGAGCACCAACAAAGTGGAAGAATGTTTCGTATTGTATTTCCCATAGGTGAAGATTCTTAGGAATTAGGAGATATTAGTATCGTATCAAAGATAAGGAATCTGAGACTTTTTGAAAAGACTTGGAACTGCTTCATGTCTCTTTGTCCACAAAAGTAGATCCTTTCCATAACCTTCTCCATAGCAAGGGAATTAATGCATTCTAAGTGATCCATATAACTGTACCCTCTACCAATGCACTAATTCCTGTTAGAACTCTTCTCATTTTATGCTGATGGGATGAAGTGATTCACTTTGAAAGAGGAAACAAAAGTGGATATGTCAATGGCAAGGTCATTGCCAAGGTCACAGGCTCATCATCTACACAGCTGGTAAAAGTCAATTATTTACATCCTTGCTGATTTCTTCTCCAGTGGACTCCTAAAGTTGAAAATAATATTTTTTTTTCTCTGAAGCAAACAGTCACAGAAATAGATGAAGCCTTTAGAACACATTCCTCTTGGTGACATTGAAGAACTGATTTATAATTTCTTTGTATTGATTCTCTGATGCTATTAATGCCAATGCTTAAAGAATAGACATAAAAAAGAAATGTGTCCAGAGAGTATACTAGATACTACATCTGTGATATTTTGTGAGATTGTCTAATATTACTCCTTTTATAGCTGAATAAAAGATTAGAAAGACTCTTTGAGATAAATTGAAGTAGGACAGTTGCAAAATCATTACTATTGCCACAGGAGTCGACAGTATTATTAGAAGTAAAAGTACTAAGAGTCCTGCACTGAATATTTACTAAGCGCAGAAATTTCTGGTCTTTAATTGTGGGTGGATTTTGTATTATCAAGAAATATATAGGATGTGATCAATTCCAGTTGGTCTGAACATCTTATAAGTTTATGAATTGCTGTGGGTCTATCCATGCTAGGATCTGACCATGTGATTCTGACCATGGTTGTTTGGATCATAGCACAGTAGCCAGAGATTCTCCACACAACTCAGTGCCTACTGGATATTGCCTGAAAGAATCACTTGAGCAGTTTTCTTCAATAAGTGATTGCTGCCATTTTTAAATGCTTCCTGTGTCCCAATAATATTGTACTATTGACTAGTAATATAGACTTGAAGAAGACACATGCCCTTGAGAAATTATAGAAGTGCATGATGAAGAACAATGGTAACTCAGGGTGATAAATCCTTAACGAATTGTAACTGAGCCTCATAGCACAGGGGAAAATATTTCTCCATCTACCACATGCCAAATGTGACACAAGTGACAGTGAACAACAGTGATGTCCCAGTCGGTGTAGGAATGCAAGCAAATGTATTACAGCACAATAAGAGATAACCTGGATGGACCCCCATTGTAGTCTCACAGTTATTTTATAAAATAATAAGCAAAATTTATTTCGCAACTTAAAAGAGACCATTTTCATTTCCATCAGTCTTATAATGAGTTAAATATTATGCTCAGCTTTACCCATTCAGAAAGGATACCAAAAGCATCCGCTTGGCAATTTTATCTTTGCTTCTGCTTTTTAATTAAGTTATTGCAGTATTCTCCTATTTTTTAAATCTCAAAACTAATTATGTGGACTCAAGTTGTTGAAGACAGCATGTTGTCATAGAGAAATACAAACTAAAGATAGAAAACCAAAAGACCAGAAGTCTTATTTGACTCAGCCATTTATTAGCTGCATGCTTTTGTATAATTAACTTATCAATCTGATATCTAGGTTTCTTATGTGTAAATTTCTCTAGTTGGTCAGAATCCACTATTTAGTAGGTTGTTTGTAAATCCTTCCTCCTTTCCTTCCTTCCCAATATCTCTCTCCTAGAAAATGCTAGTTTTATGAAACCTGTATCACCAATTTGTGTGTGTGTGCATTCAATATATATACTGTATACTATATCATATATAATATCTTATATATAATATCAGTATATGTAATATATATATATATATATATATATATATATATATTTAAACCACTTCTCAGTTTCTTGGTTCTAAATAGCTCTGTTTATATTTGATGACATGTATCACTCTAACTTTTCAGCCCTAGTTGATTGCACGAAAATAGAAATTTGTCTAAGTCAACTCAATCAATAACTTTCTCATAGGAATTCTACCCAGCACTATCTCTGACTAGAAATTTCAAACACGAGATATTGTACGTAGTTGTGATCTCCTCTACACATAATGAGAAAGACTAAAAGCCCATGATAGCATGAGCATGTACTAGATACTGCTATGAGAAGCCCAGAGGGGAGGAATGACTTGGTTGTAACACTTTTGTTACTTGAAGTTCTGCTGCATTCTGTTATGAGTTTTAAGAGATACTCTATATACTTAAGAATCTATTACAAATATTTTCCTGAAAGTTCTTAAGCTAATTGTGTTACAGCTAAACAGTACCAGCTAATATGTTAAAAAGTAAACTACTACAGTATTAGAATGAACACTACTGTACTTGCACACATAAAAGAATTGAAAACTAAACTTGTTAAACATGCTCACTAATTGATAGCTAAATACAACAGTAGGTAATAGGACCTACATATATTAACATAGAATAGAGTCAACAAGCCAACAACCATTATATATAAATTACTACAGGACATTCAGTAAGCCATTATTAATTCATCAGCCTATCATGAGAATACTCTCCCAAACGACCTGAATTTGCATAAATTTGCTTACTCTGACTAGAATTAATATATTTCAAATGTTATTAAAAACACTTAGTTCCTCCTATGTTAATCACTGAAGATTTATATTTCCTTTTCATGTTCATTTATCAGACAGTGCACATGAATTAATTCATATTTATTTGGATCTTTGATTATCTTTTAAAGCTCCAAGCCAACCACCAGCAAACATTGCCTGGAAGCTGTCAAACTCTAAATTATGCTTGAACTGGGAGCATGTAAAAACTATGGAAAATGAGTCTGAGGTTTTGGGCTACAAGGTGAGCATTTAGTTTTCTCTTAAAATTGCATGAATTATGTTACTGAAGAATTAGACATGTCACAACCATACAGAAAGCAAATTTTATGCCCATAAAAATATAAAAATACTTTTATACAAGAATGTCTGAAAATACCAATGTTGATTTTAAATTCTTTTTTGAAAGATTTTATCATCTAGTCCCACAATACACTGTGATATATCAAAATAAATTCAAGAGTGTATAATATGTATTCTCCCCCAAGGCTCCCCTTGCTGCTAAAAGATAATGGTGCATTATGGATAGTTGTAATGTATAAACAATATCAAATAATATATTCCAATGGAATTTTTATAATATAAGCTGCAGATAATGTGGTTCCTTTACAATTTAAGAGGGAATCAAACCAGCAAATACTCAAAGCATCTCATGTCTATCAACGGTAATTGTCATCTTCCACCTTTGGAAGATGCATATATTTAGCCTCTTGAAATGGATCCAAAGTAACCAGCAATTTTTACTTAGCAAGCACAGGAGATAACAGCCTCCAGATACTTGACTAACAGAGATTCATCTATTCTTATTATGGAGAATGTGGTCAAAAGATAAATCCTTTTCTTAAGAGCGAATTGAACAAGAGTCATCACAGCGTACTGTGTTCCATGATATGTGTAGATATAATGAAATGCCTGACCCTGTTCCATAATAGCATCTGAAACTTATAAAGGCAACAGAAGGGTCCATCTTCATTTGATGAACCATTTTATTCAGATTCTGTATCGGCAAAACAGACAGAGTAAAACTCATATTTTGGAAACAAATAATACATCAGCTGAGTTGCTGGTTCCATTTGAAGAAGACTACTTGATTGAAATAAGAACAGTCAGTGATGGTGGAGATGGAAGCAGCAGTGAGGAGATCAGGATTCCAAAAATGTCAAGTAAGTTGAGTCGCCATGCTACTGTAAACTCTGAAGCTCGACAGCTGTGGTATGAAATCTGCTCTTCAATAAATCTTATTAAATGTTAGGTGAAAAATAAAAGGACTGTTTCCATTTTCAGCTGTGAGTCAGAGATGATGAGCCAATTTTCTTTAAATAATCTTTCAAATTTTCAAACTCATGTATTTCAGTTTTATGTATCCTCATTTGAAGATAAAGGGGACAAAGTTTAGCCTTAATGCATGATTTTTCAATTAATTCTATTGGCAGAAAACCTAGTTTTTCCATAGATTTCAAAGACTTCTTAGGGAATGACACATGGAAAGCCTGTGTACATGCACCTTTCTTTCTATAAGCATGACAGACACTGCCTGTCAACCATGGCATTCATGTGGAGCTGAATTACTACCTTCTGACTTTCTCAATGAGGGTCTCCAAGCAGGCAAAAATCAGTCAGCCAGAGTTACCACATAATAGTAATTTACTATTTTGATTTAGAGGAACTACTTACTCATCTGACTGAAGGTACAGGGCACTAACTCCACCAAGACTGGCAAATTTGAATCTGCACTTCAGACATGCTTTATCAAATTTGGAACTTGTATTTTGTGCATTTTATTTAACAGACACCCTAGGGCAGAGAATAAAAGCACTTCTTAAAATTAAAGGTAATATAAATAAAATCAGTATTATATGATGAAAGATTGGAAGAGAAACATGAATATGTATTTTGTAATATGAAGAATTAATCTAGAAAAGTATTTTCATTTTATCAAGATATTTTGATTCCTTTTTATGTTTTGCAGGTTTGAGTTCCAGAGGAATTCACATCTTGGAACCTAGTGCCCATTTCTTACCAGTTGTAACTTTGTACTCTTTTACTATTGAGCTACTTATAAGATGAAAAAAAAAAGTAAATCTACAAAAGTTTTCTGAAATAAATCATTCTGTATATACACCCTCCAGCCTCTCTCATAAGGGATATTCTTAATACAGACTTGTTTGGAAAGAAAAAATGTATATTATTAAGAACTTGTAAATATCTGTGATACATTAATAAAACAATTTTAAACACTTTTGAATTTTAAACTTCACTTGTGATTATGTATGTCCAAAGGTGCCAAATCAATTTGTGGACAAATAACTGTTGAGTCTTTCAAGTAACTTAAAGAGAGAGTATGCTATAAATAAGTCCCATGATAATGATTCATAAAAATAGGTTTGAATCTAAGTGCTTTTTAATATGCTCAGGAAATTTACCTCAGTGTTTAAAATTTTTACCTTAAGTCAAAATAAATTGTAATTAATTGTTTAGAGTTGGGATTCAGCTATTATGAAGGTAATCTTTTACCTCTTATACAAGTTGGAAAAAATATTAAAATTTTGTTATTATTCATGATGATTTTTTTCAGCACACTTGTCAGAAGAGCCAGTAATGATTATGAAGAAAATGTTTGGCAAAAATAGTAAAAACAGCACCCACGCTATCATCTTCAGACAATTCTGACACAGTAGAAAAATTGCTCATGGTAAAATTTACTCTTTTACTGATTATATATCATAGTAAGTTAAAGTTGCACAAACAAGACTCAGGTAATTAGTACAATGATAGCATGTGACTTGATTATTAGAAAATAAAGGAGTCTGGGAGCAGAATTATTTGATCAGGTTTTCTACATTTTGGAGATAATAATGCTACATTAAGAAAGATTTAGAAAGATGTGTGAATTGACACTCTGGGGTGAACCTATTTCAGCCAGTGGCCTCAATTCTTGTAATTGCACAATTTGGAGAAAGCTTAAAGTGAATGCTCCTCTGGGAAGTCATCTATTCTCATCACAAAAAGCCTTGAGGATTCAGTTCCTGATGCAGTGCCTCACCTTCCAGTCAACCTGGCTTGTTGTTCCTGGAAATGGGAATAAGAACAGGTTATACTCTTCTTTTTTTTTTTTCTTTTGGCGGAACCGGGGATTGAACTCAGGCCCTTGCGCTTACCAGGGAAGCACTTATTCCACTGAGCCATCTCCCCGGCCCCCAAGGTCATACCCTTCTGTCTTCTTAACATTTATGAGTGCTTAATTATGTTCAAGGTTATTGGAACTGTTCGTGCAACCTACAAATAACACAATCCTTAAAACTGACTGATATTTGTATTTCTAAGCTAGTTTAGATCTCCTTGAAGTGTCCCTATGTAGTTAACAACATAAACTAAATAGCTTTCCTAAGTTTCAAACTTGCTCCTCCCTGAATGGTATATAAGGCACATTACAAATCACTGTAAATCACTGAGTCTATTCTCCCCAGTGTGGAAGATCTGGCTGTGTCTTTAGGGATCAAGACAAACAGCAAATGTTACTTGACAAACTGATGTTTAGAACCATGGGTCCATGATACACATCTTTATGTGTCTGGCCTACGTCTTCACAGCCTTCCTGACTTGATGAAAGACAAGATGTGCCCTCTACCCGAGTGGAGATTGAGAAATACAAGATTTATGTTTTTATTTTTTATTTATTTTTTTAAGATTTATGTTTAGGCAGATTCAGTGAATTAGATACATATCATTTGTGCACAAGTCCAAAAGTTAAACCAGTTTTATAAGTCTAATATGTTTTATGAGTGCTCTTTTGTTTCATAACTTCTTGAGTAATAGAAGTCTATATTATTCAACATTTAACATATAATTTATATGTTCATGAACCCATAGAAAAATATAGAACATAAGTTTTGCATTAATGCCAAGCAGTCTATCTTTCACTTTTCTATTCTTCATTATCCTAATGAGATGTAAGTTTTAACATGTACATTTCACTAATGCCAAGGTTACAGATCATAATGTACATGGAGCATTTTGCATCATGTGTGGGTCATTGTAAATCTTCTATGAACAGAGATGCTATCACTTGTTAATGCCTAATAAAATAATGCTACATTGCTTTAAGTTTCGAATGTAGTACAAAAACAAATTCAGCCTTTTTATGTCAGAAGCCATACTAGCTTCAAGAAAAATGAGTTGTCACCTACTCTACACTAACAGGCACTGAAGAATAAACAAATGGTTGTCTCAACTCATACAGAGAACTATTCAGTAATGTGTACTTATTCTTTTAGAATTCAGGAAAGATTTCCAGTGGATCCTTTATTGACTGATTGAATTATTACAGTAAACTGTTGAAAACGTGATAACTGATTTGCATATTTCTTACAGGAAAGGGAAAAGATGCTGTGGTGCCTGGAATTAACCACAGAGAAACAAGCAGCAAGGATTAGCAGGGTTAATACATTTGAAAAAATGCATCTGGTCTAGAACCAAAAAGCTATGGGCTGCCCACATAATAGTGGCTTCAAACTCAGCTCCATTTCCTGATCCCTTCTCTCTACATTGTGACCCTTCTAGCACAGACATGCTGCTTATACAGAGGATGGCTACTCAGAGGAGGAGTCTGCTATCTGAAAGTAGACAGGTGCAGATGATGCGGGATGACCTGGAACCCACATGGACTGCAAATGCTGTCCTGTAATCACTATATCCCGAAAATCCAATACTTTTATGCTTCCAAGTCTTAGCAGCCCGTATTCCACATTAAGAAGCCAGAAGGACTGTATGCTCTTTACACAGTTAAATTAATGGCATCTTACGTTATTTGCTATGAAATGACATATGTATTTCAACAGAGATTTTTTTCCCTGGAATTCTGAAATTTGTTAGATATATTCATTGGCACTACGCATATTAGTGAGTTCCTCAGTGAAACAAAACAAGTAGCATACATGTGTGGAGGAGAAGGTACTCCAGGGAATTAATTCATGAAATTGTACAAGTAGGAAAGTTGTGTGAGGGATCGCCTGTAGTCTAGCTCCATCCAAAATCTGTTTGAACCAGGAATCCTCATAGTGGAATGACTTAAATACTGTTCTGTTTATTTGCAAAGTGAGATGTTAGGACTATGAGCTCTCAGAGAACCTTTAAAACCCTATAATTTCATATTAAACTGTGTAGCATGACCATTAGTTGACAAGACGTGTTTTATAAGCTTTCACAACGCACACATATTTTAAAATGATTTCCAGTGCTATCCCTAGTGTTTGCTGTATCATCACTGATTGTATTATTATTTCTTAACTGGAATTTACATTACAACTGAATATACTTTTTCAAACTACAAAGAATACTAAGAAATACAAACCCTGCTCCATGGGTCCCCTGGAGAATCTCTGATAGACTGAAGTTATTTACTGAGAGCAAAGCTGTTATAAAATTTTCCTTGTTAGGTGAAAACAATATAACAAAAGTATATATATATATATATATAGTTTATATTTTATAAATATATGTTATTGGGAATCAATCTCAAGACCTTGTGCTTGCCAGCTGGAACTGTGCCACTGAGCTATATCTCCAATCCAAGATCTAAGATTTTTGTAATAAATATTGCATGAAATAATTGGAGTATTCTGACTTTTTGCTTTTGCCATTGAAACATCTACTCTGATAAAATTTGAAATAAATTATTTATTTATTTATTTATTTATTTATTTATTTTTGATGGAACCAGGGATTGAACTCAGGCCCTTGCGCTTGACAGGGAAGCACTTATTTCACTGGACAAATTACTACTTTATATCTTCTGTTTCAAACTACTTTTACTTGACAAAATAAATTATTTTCTATTAAGTTCTATTATTATTGTCTTAAATGTATATGTTCTGGTAGAAATCAGAAGGTGAAAACAAGTGGTGCTTAGTTTATCCTACTTTGTAATTATATTGTTCATCTCATTGCCACCAAACTGATAGGCTTGAAGTTAAAAATGTCAATCTAAATTTTTTGTCGAAAGATCTTTGTCCATATTCTTCAACACCAAGTTTCTGAGTTCTGTGAAATTACAGTTTTTGTTCATTTGTTCAACTATCAGCTTAAAAATGTTTTCTAGCATTTGTGATTAGGAATGATTAAAGTTACAAGAAAATAGAATCTTGAAAGCCTAATGTTTTTAAACTCTTAAAATCTGGAGATCAATTAATTTCTACTTATAGCTATTTTTTTCTCATGAAATTAGAGGGTACCTGTTAAGCTTTCTTCCATAATAGCAAGATAATTTTCATGAAAAGGGAATTTCATTTATGTCATTGTTTTTATTTTATTTTTTGAATTTATTTTATGTACTTTTGTACAGGGTCTCAGCAGCTCAGACTCCTAGTGATACTCCTGTTTTCAGCCTCTCCAGCACTGAGATTACAGATATATGCCACCACTCCAGATTTCAGTGGCTGGTGCAGCATGCCCAGGGGCAGGGCAGGAATGCCATGTGGTGCCAGGGCTCCAACCTGGGCCCCTGTGCTTGCCTAAGCAGGAAATTAGTTTGCTGAGATAAATCGCAGGCCTTCTCATTGTTTTTAAAAGACAAAAATCATTAAGGCAATGATCCTGAGAATATCCATCAGTTTTTTCAAACCAACAGTTAATTGGTAGGATTCTCACCCTGACTAACTATATATGCTGGTACCTGTGAACTAGGCAACGGCAACAAGGATAGCAATGTGTAATGTTAGGGTTATGCTTGGAAGGCCTGTCATTCTGGTCTTCTAAGTGTGTGCTGTGCTCTCTCTTAAGTAAATGTTTAAAAAAGGTAATAAAAGAAAACAAGAGACAAGAAAAAAGTTTCATGGGACTGTTCAGCTACAATGTTGTATATGGTTGAATTTCTAGATTTCTGTGTAAAAAATGTGTAATTGTTTATTTCTTCTTTCTATGTTCTTATTTTTTCCACATTCTGTAGGAGTTTAAAATTTAGCATATCAATGATTGATGGAAAATATCTGTTCCATGTTTATCTAAAGAGTTTGACATTCAGACAAACAGTGATGTTAATCTCAACTGCCTATGTTATAGGGTAATAATAT